GAGTTTACTACATTTCAAGCCAGCATCACACAATTTAAATTGAGAATCCAACCAGGCTGGCTGCTTGGGTGACGTTCTCTGTGTTTGTTGAATTCTGCCTAGCAACTATTGGCTGTTTTTGAAAGCACGTTCATCCTGGAAAAATAAGTACCTGCCAAAATGCCAATATGGTTCTAACTGCATACCTTTTCCCCCTTCCAAATGTATAATCAGCCTCCACTACTTGGACTTAAGGTACAAGAGGTACTCAAAGTATCAGGGGGCTGAGGGTACTTTCTACCCATTTTATAAAGCAAATCCTCTTTTAGACACAAACTTTGCAGAATGTGATTATGTTACTTGATAGACTTTCACTGCTATTAGAAATTGGCATTAGAAATAATCCTGTGTTAAAAATATATATAAAGCATATTAAGGTGTCTTCTGAAAATATACTGTCAATGATGGAAGGAGATAATTTATGCACATTGCATTTAACTTAAACTTTTAATCAAGAAGACAAAGTAAAACTACTATCAGATCTTAAATATCTTGACATGGAATGCTAACTTTTTCTTCTTTTAGACTGCTCTTTCCTGGCTACACTACCAAATTAAATTTAATTATACGTTCAAAGCTTAAGAATAGTTAAAAGGCAAAGCAAAGGAAAAAAAAACCACTTGTTCTTATCTTTCTGATCACTCTCATGTAGCCCTGAATGTTCAACTCTGAGTCCTAAAGGGAGCCAGCTGTGGAACGCCACATATATGCAACACACATGGCCATCGAGAGCTGACAGAGGCATCCCAGACTCGGGCCAGCGGAGTCTAACCATGCTGCCTGATGCATAGGCAAGTATGAGAAAAGGCTGGAAGGTCAGGGGTTCTAAAAGAGCTCACTGTCTTTCTTACACACCACATATTGTGGAGTCAAGGCCAGGTATATATGTGGTCCTGGCTGGTTTGAATTCCTTCAGCCTATGTATTTTCTTTCCCCCTAAAACATGAGTAAAACTATGGGGACTTTGGGAAGATGAAGAGGTCCTTCCTGCAACAAGTGTCTTAGCGCAATGCCTGACATGGGACAAGAGTACCTATGTGTTGTTATGTGATGTTATCACAGATTTGCAATAACACTTTAAACCAAAGCTTCCCCACAGTTCCTCAACCCATAAAGTCAAGGTCTTTGGGAGCCACTGGTTCACATCTCATCTCGTGGGCCTGCGAGTCATAACGGCAGGTCAAATTTCACTTTCAGGTTTGGCCAGCACAACGGTCAGATCCACATGGGTGTGCTGAGTCCAAACATTATTATTCCTCACCTCAATTATTTTCCAACTCTTACTTTTCCTTCAACTCAATTTCCTCTGGTATTTACTGTTCAGTCTGGATTATTAAACATAAACCATGGAGCCCCTTCAAATTCCTTTGTGGAACAAGGGGTAAAATAATGTATTGTAAAGCTTGATCACTCTCTTACTTGATATTTATTTAAAAAATAAATAACCAAGGAATTTTTGCGGTTCAATCTCAGCAAGCTAAGATCACGTGTGGGTGTAACTAAAAGATTTCCATGGTGGACAGTTAGGCATGAAACTGCTGCAGGAAATAAATGCAAAGTTTGACAAAATTAGATGCAAAGGAAGTAGACAAAAAAGATTCTGTAATCAGAGGAGAGTGATTCAAACCACTGAGTGTCACCAAATGTGTCAGGAGCACGCTAGTCATTATAAGTAATCACTCACTCATATCCCACTGAGAGTAGCACCATCACAAACATGTCAGAGGACTAAACCAACAAAAGGAGTGCATCCCCCTATTTAATCCCAGCATCCCTTCAGGTAACCTTCAGTTGAGAATGCCTGAAAGCACTAAATTTCTTCACCAGTATCAGATGACAGACATCTGGTTTACCAGCCCTTCAATAATACTACTTTGTGCGCATTAAGGTGCAAGTGTCACAAACATGACTTCATATTTTAGGGGCACATTTGCTTTCCGTGAGCTGTGTGATGAAACAAGAGACTAGGCCATGTACCACTCTTTCCTTTGAGGCCATTGGCTACACAAGAAACAAGCTGGACTGGGGGAATAGAAACGATGACTGCACAGCTGGACATGAGGGCAAGCTTTGGAAAATGTTCTCAAGTCACCAGAAACTCATTACGGGAAACGTTCCACAACGTTCCAGGATCAATGCCAGCCTAGGACTCATCCTCCAACCTCCTGCTCTACCCAACCAGCGTCACAGTCCTACATCCTGGAACACACATGGATTTAGTAACATGGAAGGGAAGCCAAGCTAGAATTGACAGGCACATTTGACAGTACTGAGCTCTTGTCCCTAAGCATGTTTCACAACTTGGTACCATGAAGTCAGTGAGCAACTGCTGTTGGTGTTGACTCTCCTCTAAAATGCACAGTGTATTTCATCCATCACAAAATGCAGAGTGCCCACATTTCTTCTCAGGAACTCAGCATTCTCCCATTATTAATTCCTAAACAGAGCTCTTGAGTAACTATTTACTGATGATTGAAATGTGCAAACCCAGGCTGGTTCTAAGAGCCCTGGCTTTTTCAGTTGTACTGTAAAGGTGCGGCATTACTAATGGAATTTCAAAACTTGACTCTCTAGGAAAACAGTTTTCTATGACTCAATTTAAAATGTTTTTCCTGTCAACATGTGGTCATTAAATGTCAAAATGAGTGTAAATGAGTTGAGGTTTCACATCAAGAATTTCTTAAGGAGTGCAATAGTGTGAATGTACAAGGTTATCTAAAAAAAAAGTTTGTGGAAAATGGAATGACAAAATAGGTTTACTGTGAAACACAAAAATTTGAGAAACCCATGTACAGTTTTCCCATAAAACATAAATGTCATCAATTTCTTGGAGCCCTCTTGGGCTTACTGACACTGGGCAGTAAAATGCTTATGCTTAAAATGGTAAATTTTATGTTACATACTCATAGTCTACTGCAATAAAACTGGTTTTCAATGAGATGAAACATCACCAACCCATGCTTTATTACAAAGTATAGAAGTCATCTGTTTCCTAAATACAAATAATAAGTACATTGATAAATCCGAAAGTTACAAATGGATCTGTTTAAGACCAACCGATACTGGAACAGCCCAGGCATGAAATCAACCCTATGGTGTTCCTTCACAGCTGCTGCAATGGCTTTAATGTATTCAAAAAGTATTCATTCAGGGAAAGAAAGAAAAAAAAAAATCAACCTAGATGGCGCCAAATCACCCCTAACTTAGGGAAGACAAACAGCCGCCTCTGAAGCTCTAAGGAGCCCCAGGAAAATCCCAATCCAAAGGGCACAGCAGCAAATCCCAATTCAAGTGTTGCCCTGATTTAAAAGGCAAACAAAACCCAGAGTCCATCCAACACAGAGCAGACAAGGAGTAGCAGCCTCACGTGACAGAGCTGCCCTAAACCGTTCCCTGGAGACCAGCACTGCTGAGTTTGGGTTAAGTCTTTCTTATACTTAGCTTTCTCCACATTGGTTGTTCTAGAAAAAGGAATTATTTACCAGTGACCCTAGCTGCATAGGTAATGGAAGAAGGCATCAAATGAGAAGCTTTGTTACTCCTGCTGAGGCTCAGCTCTAAAGAATGCATTACTGGAAGAACCTAAGAGAAAAAAAATTCCAATAAAGACCATGGAAAGAAAATATAATTATATCCTTAATGGGCAAAATTTCTTAAATGGGTTGGTCTAAACACAAAGGCAAGCAACTACTTCTGAAAGCTGAAAATAATGCCTATTTAAGAAAGCTTTTCATCTATTCAAACTCAAATCTAACTGCGCACCCCAAAATTATTTGTTTTAAAACTTTTTTTAATTTGATGTGTCATCCATTTAATAATCCATTCCCCATTTACTTCTTTCATAAACATTATAATGAACAATTATTTTATTTGCTTTCTTCCTGGGATTTAGCATATACCCTTTAGTTGGCTCCACACTGGAATTGATCAGCATTGCACTCTCAAGGCCTGGCACAGCATCTAGAAGACACTAGGCAAGTTTCAGCCATCCAACAAATACGCATGGAGCACCTTTCTGTTCTGTGGCTGCAAAAGCCAGCTCAAGATTTGGCAAATACGTGTAAGCTGCATATATAAACATTTTTGATTGCAGGCATACAGGAGTTCACAAAATACAAGATGGTAAGTGCTTCACACCCTAACTGAACTTATGCTGCCTTAAGTTGTTACATGTAAGTAAGTCACAATACCAGTTACTGTATTTCATAATAGTCCTAACTCCATTACAGGTTAACACTGTGACAGACGAACTATATAATAACTTTAGTTTCTTCTTATATAACCAACATCTTCCAATATCCAGTAAGCGAAATCTGCAAGAAATAGTGTGACCAAACAGCACCCACTATGACATGAACTTTGTTCTTCTTCCAACTCATTTCTTTCTAAGTGTAGTATTTAACTTATTGAATAGTGCTTCCAATGCAAACTGAATGCAAAATAGAGTTGTCACATACTTGATGAAAATAATGATCTCTGTCCAAAATTTGGTTAATTGAATTTCAGAACAAGTCATGAACTCCTTGTTGCATGTGAAGTCTCATTTCTCAATACCACATCTGTACTTAAGATTAATTTGGATTACTTTTGATGACTGGGTCACACTTCCTTGGCACAAGTGCCACGGTACAGTGTGTTAAACAACCACCTGCATCACCAGTAGCACACAACAAAATGCCAGTTCAAGCTCACCTGCCTTGTTTCCAATCCAATTTTTAATTGATTTTTCAAAGTGGACCTTTTATTAAATTCTCTAATTACTTAGCAACAACACAACTGTTATTTTAACATTAGAGATGAATATGAAAACTTCTGGCTTACAGGTAACTCCACATATGCCATGCCAGTACTTCTGGAATGCCAGTTATTTCCTAGTAAGTCACTACTTCAAACCCACATTCACTTGCATGCTCACTTTTGCATGCATGTTTGCACACTCTGTTTCTCCATCTCCCTCTCCATTTCAAAAACAGCACGTTAGCTACAATTATATCTTTTCTCAGAATCGGCTCTTTCACTAAATGTTACTATGCCTGTCACTTTCATATTAGAAACCCCAAAATCATCCTTAATGATCTTGCATTCTTCATTCCGCTACATCCTATCACAGTCATTTCTATCTCCTGGTGTCTCTTCTCTTGTTGCTCACATGTTTTTCCAAGGCTGCCAGGCCTTCTGCAACGAACTGGTCAGGCACAGGTAGATTTTTCAGGTCTCCAAAGGACTTAGTCACCTGATACACCAAATTGTGGGTTATATTTCAGGAAACTACCTGTTGATCCCCTGCAAAGTACTTCCTACAGGCAACAACTGAAAGAATCTACAACCCTCATCAAGTCCTTTTAAACAACTAGCACAGGTCCTGCCTTCAAAGGGATGCAAAGTTTCTATAATAACAGTACAGGGCTCACATTCTACAAGCTAATGAGCCGTGGGTCATAGAAACAGGCTTTAACTGTTTACTGTATCTTGACAATAGGGATGCTGGACTCTCTGATAGTGCCCATGCCCGCTATGATGGACATTTGACTGTTTATGAAGAACTATACTATAGTAATGATATAGGGGAATTCAGTGACGGGGGAGGGGATTGGGAAGGAGGTAAGAGAAATCCAAAGGTTTATGGAACTGTATCATAAAAGGATAATAAAAAATAATAATAAATAAAATAGAGTAAATAAAATAAAAAAAAAGAGTAGCCTCTGAAAGATTCTCATTGCCTCAGGGCCAAAGACCACAAAGCCACAAACCAAAATAAAGCCTGTATAAGGAAGTAAGACAATGCAATTCAGAATGGCAATTTCTTGTGGCTAAGACATAAAATGTTCCTTCAGTCACAGAGAATTCACAGTCCCTAAAACAAACTTGAATTTTCTTGTTATGCCAGTATGCCAAGCAAAACAATTTCATTAAAAATCAAAATTTAATTCCTCCTGATAGTTCTTTATTGATAATAAACCTTACCCAGCCATAAGCATTACTCCCCAGCATTTTCCCAACTCATAACAAAGGAGTAACAGCATGTCTAACAATGACCAAGTGTCCTATTACATGAGAAAACAGAAAAACATCTCCACTGCGGAAAAGTTATTGTTTCTCTGTAATTCAAAAGATATGAATACATCTAGATGGGTTCAAAACCAACAAACACAATCTTTCTCCTAGATAACTACCAAAGGGGAAAAAAAAAGTTACACTCATTCAGACACACGTTATATTGCACTGGATTCAACCATTGCTTGGGATGTCCCCACCCCAAATTAAAGTGTCTGGGGTGAATCCCACCTCCACTTCTAATCCAGCTTCCTGCTAATGCACATTCTGGCAGACACTGGTAATGGCTGAAGTGCTCAGTTCCTCCTCTCTCATGGGAGAGCCCAGGCAGAGTTCACAGTTTCAGCCAACCTAGTCCCACAATTACAGGAGTTTAGAGAGAGAAAAGGCAGATGGAAATCTCCCTCTGTCTCATCCTGTCACTGCCACACAACTATAAATTGAGACAAAATCTCAAAAGTATTATTAAAGCCCATGCAGCTTTCCCCCAAACTACTATACACGCAGAAGCCATCCTGCTCACACAGCTGCCCTAAGCCCTCCCTCTACCTGGAAAACAGGCACACTGACACTGGAGAGTGTTCCCTGACAAATCAGAATTTGTTCAAGGGTTTGCTGTCTACAAAGCACTTCTGAGTACATTGTCCCAACTGTTTTTAATAGCAATTCTATGAACAATCATCCTTGGTTTGTGAGAGCACTGAAGCTCAGCAATCAAACCACATGCTCAAGATTTCACAGCTGGTGCCTGTGCAAGATTCAAGGTTGGATCACAGGGCCCTTAATTCAGTATGCTTTATAATACAGACATCCCTTATTTGCTTCATTTACTGATAGATTCAAAACAGAAGTACCCGGTGCATCAGAAAAGGGAAGGGAGGAGGAGGGAATCAAAATGTGTATAAAGGACTGCACATCCTCATCACCTCTGCAAACATTCAAATCTTAAAAACCTACTTCCACAGCCCAGATCAGACAACCATAAGAACTTCCAGGGTGTCTTCATATGTTGCATAGAGGTGCAAATGAGGGATAAGACATTTGTTACTGCTCTGATTGACTGGAGGTAGTGTTTAATTTTCCCATTAAAAGACAGAGCCTGGGCATGGCATGGTAGCCTAGCAGGTAAAGGCCTCGCCTTGCACACCTGGGATCCCATATGGCAGCCCTGCTTCCCATCCAGCTCCCGGTTCATGGCCTGGAAAAGCAGCTGAGGATGGCCCAAAGCCTTGGGACCCTGCATCTCCTTGTGGAAGACCCAGAAGAAATTCCTGGCTCTTAGCTTCAGATTATATCAGCTCCAGCCACTGTGGCCACTTGGAGAATGAATCAGAGGATGGAAGATCTTCCTCTCTCTCTCTTCCTTTTTGTATATCTGACTTAAGTAAAAATCCAATTTTTGTTTAAAAAAAAAAAAAGGACAAAGACCACATTAATTTCAGAAAGATGTGAACTGTCAGTACAAAAAAAAAATAATGGTTACGGACCAGCATGACAGCTTAGCGGCTAAATTCGTGCATTGCCAACTTCCAGGATCCCATTTGGGCACTGGTTTGTGTCCCTATTTCTCCTCTTCCCTTCCAGCTCCATGCCCCAGGACTGGGAAAGCAGAGGATGGCCCAAAGCCTTGGGACCCTGCACTCACATGGGAAACCCAAAAGAAGCTCCTGATTCCTGGCTTCAGATCATTTCAGCACCAGCTCTTGTAGCCACTTGGGGAGTGAACCAGCACAGAAGATCTTTCTGTCTCTCCTTTTCTGTGTAAATCTTTCTTTCCAATAAGAAAATGAAATAAATCTTTTAAAAATTAAGGTTAATGGGGCCTGGCGCAGTGGCGCAGTGGTTAAGGTCCTCGCCTTGCACGCCCGGGATCCCATATGGGCGCCGGTTCTAATCCCGGCAGCCCGCTTCCCTTCTAGCTCCCTGCTTGTGGCCTGGGAAAGCAGTCGAGGATGGCCCAAAGCTTTGGGACCCTGCACCCGCGCGGGAGACCCAGAAGAGGCTCCTGGCTTTGGATCGGCATAGTATCGGCCCGTTGTGCTCTCTTGGGGAGTGAATCATCGGATGGAAGATCTTCCTCTCTGTCTCTCCTCCTTGCTGTATATCTGCCTTTCCAATGAAAAAATAATAAAAAATAAATCTTTAAAAAAAAAATTAAGGTTAATGAAGTTTCCCTGTCCCCAGGTCATATGACTTGGATAAATTGCTTAAATTCCCTAGGTCTGGTTTTCCATATTTTTATGCTACATTAGGAAATCTCCAGGTCTTGGTTTTTAGTTTCAGTTTAGTTTATTTTTTAGCTGTTAGTTTTCTGATATTCCAATTCTGTAAAGTTACTTACTCCCAATCATATGCTCAGATTTCAAAATGCTGAGTCCCTCAACTACAGAATATAGAAAGAAGCTGAACTGCAGTAAGATGTCAACTCTAAAGAACAGAATCATGCAAGAAAATTCACTTTTTAGAAAAATAAAATACAATCAAAAAACAAAGCAATATAAGGTCTGGAAGCAAAACCTGTATAAGATGAGAACACGGGCTGGGTCAGTCCATAACTCCCCACAAAAAGGCAGGTAACGGGCAATATGACTACTGCAGGGGTCAGAGGTTACGGTGAGAAAAAAACGTACTACTCAGTGAGAAACTTTTACCTACAGTAATTAGACTTCAAGATGACCATCGTTTGCTGAAACTTGTGGTAAGATCCAAGGGGGGGATTGGTCGGAAGAGCAACAGCAGACTAAATTAAATACATATCAAAGGAAGATAGAGACTGTACTCAATGACCAACTCATAGGTTGACATTCAGCTGCACCTGGGAAGCAATGAAGAGTTGTCAAATTTTAAACAATGAGCAGGAATTTAAATGACAGCAGATGTCTTTTAAGAGAGATCCACGTTCCCTGAAATGATTTATATTCTCACTCTCATCATGAGGCTCACCAAAACACTATATAAGAAAGTCTCCATCAAACAATTGCATCATACCCAGTCCTAACACAGATCTTAATTAATGGAAATTCTGTAACTTGTAGTTTCTACCAAGAAAAAAAAATTTTCATTGCATGAAATTCCTAAGTGCTACGCATTACAGACTTCTGTAGCAAATTCATAAAACATAAATAACTAGCACACCAAAGACTGGCTAGCAGAAAAATACAGTATATGGAAAAATTTGTAAACTTATCTAACCATGGAACTTTTTCTTCATATGACACTTATTAGCAGCATAAAACCAGTGTTTCATAATATACTCTTCCTTGAAATGATACTGTGGAACATTCAGTTCTAAGAGAATAATGCTGCACAGAAAATTAAGTCCATCAGTACTACAAACACACATACAAAGACAATTCCTTTCCTTTTATCAGTAACAGAGACCAACAAAAAGGTAAAATTTCCCCTTGCATTTATTCATATACTACATCAATCTTGGCTATATATTACGTTACTTGATAAGCTTTCAGAAAAAAAAAAATTACTAGGTTTTATTTCCAAACAAATAAATCAGAATCTTTGGTGTAAGTGTGAATAGTTTCTTTCAGAGTGACAGAAAAGGAGTGAAAAATTTAAAAATGGAGATCTTTCACCCACTGGTTCACTCCCTCAAATGGCCACAACAAGCGGCACAGGTCCAAGCTGAAGCCAGAAAGTCCAGAATTCCATTCAGGTCCTTGACATTCAGGGCTCAAATACTTAAGCCATCAGTATTGCTTTTCTTTTCTTCTTTCTTTTTAAAGATTCATTTTTACTGGAAAGTCAGATTTTTAACACAGAGGAGAGACAAAGATCCTCCATCTGCTGGTTCATTCCCTAAGAGGCTGCAATAACCTGGAGCTGAGTCGATCCAAAGTCAAGAGCCCGGTGCCTGGAGCCTGGAGCCTTTTCTATGTCTCCCCCACTGGTGCAGGGTCCCAAGATTTTGGGCCATCCAAAGTTGGGAGCCAGGTACCTGGAGACTCTTCTCGGTCTCCCATACTGATGCAGGGTCCCAAGAATTTTGGGCCGTCCTAGACTGCTTTCCCAGGCCACAAACAGGGAGCTAGAAGGAAAGTAGAGCATCCGGGACACAAACCAGTGCCCATATGGGATCCTGGCACATGCAAGGCGAGGACTTTAGCCACTAGGTTACCACACCGGGTCCTGCTTTTAAGATTTATCTATTTACTTAAAAGGCAGAGAGGGAGGGAAAGGGAAAGAGAGAGGAGGGAGGCAAAGAGAGGAATGGAGACTAAAAGCAAAAGCAAGAGAAAGATCCTCCATCTGCTAGCCCACACCCTAAATGTCTGCAATGAGGTTCCTCCAGGTCTCTCATGTGTGTACAGGTCTCCAAGCATGTCCACTGCTTTCCCAGGCACAACAGGGAGCTGCATCAGAAGTGGAGCAGCTAAGACTCCAACCAGCACCTATATGAGATGACAGCGCCACAGACAGTGGCTTTAACCAACATGCCACAACACCAGCTCCTCTTCTGGGGTCTTTTCCTGGAGCATGTGCAGATAATTGGATTGGCAGTGCAGCAGCTGGGACACAAACCAGAGTTGCCATATGAGTTCCAGCACTGTTGGCAGAAGTGTTTAACCAGCTATGCCACAACACTAGCCTCAGGACATCATTAGACTTTAGGAATTCTTCAGAAATACTTCTACCAAGGGTTAAGATCAATGTTTTAAACTATTATCATTAAGAAAAAAACTTAATGCTAATTGAAGAAATGAGTAAAATGAACATGAATTCCATTTAGTAATTCAGCTTGAAAATCTACTCTTGAAAAAACTGTGGGTTGGCTGTATTTGTTCTGCATATGATTCCAAATTTCAAATAATTCTGGTCTTCTCTGAACTTATTCATCATTATACTGATGGTCCAATGCTAACACTGCATCAAATAGACAGCCAACAGTTTCTTTAGGGGAACTTTTAACTCCATGCAAATAGAACCAAAACTTCTATCGCTTGCCAAATTTGAATTCCTTGTATCTGTTTCGCAGAAATTGTAGTTTGATTTCCATAAAACATAACCAAGAGTATACTGTGATGCCAACATTTTCCATCGTTTCCTCGGAAAACAATTTTTTCAGTCAAATTATTGCAGAAGGTTCAGAACTTAGCTAAACATTGCTAAATATTTTATAGCTATCATTCTGAGCTTGGCAGGTTTATCCTTCAAAATGTAACATTTCGATGAATGATTAACAGTTAATTTCCCTAAGAACGCATTTATCATCTAGGAAAGGAGTAGGAAGAAAAAGGCAATGATAGATTACTAAGACCAGCACTAATAAAGAAGTCAAAACAACACCACAAGTTCTACTGCAAAGTGTTGGGTCATTTGAGCTATCAGATTTAATTCTCATCATACCTAAGCTGATACCAAACTATATGGTCCAGCAACTTAACGCCAGATTTAAGTCCTTCCACTCACCACTCACCTCTTCGAGTCACTTTAAAAACCTGTGCATCAATTCGCATAGAATAATTTAACGATTTGCATTGCTTTAAACTCACTTTTTAAATTACTTTTTTCATGATACAGTTCTGTAGGCTCTCAGATTTCCCCTCCTCCCGCTCCCTTTTCCCCACTGATTTCCTCTAAATTATTACAATAGTATAGTCCTTCACACACAGCCATTAAGTCCATCATTCTGCTATTCATTGTAGGTATAGATGATGGCAGAAAGTCCAACAGCCTATGGTCAAGAAATGTTTAACAGTTTCATTGGGATTCCATCTTTGATTCAGGAGTAGAGATATGTACTGTAATGGATCTTCACTTCTCAGTAAGCTAGTTTCCATTACACAGTTCTAGATAAATATATGTATATGTACATGTTTACCAATACATCTATTGGTCTTGAATTTTGTATGGAGGTTGCCTTCATACAATATCTATATCATAGAACATATGATATTTGTCCTTTGTGACTGGCTTATTTCGCTGAGCATAACCGTTATCTACTTGGAACCATTTTGTTGCAAATGGTAGAATTTAATTCTTTTTCACAGTTGAGTAGTGTTTTACGGAGTAGATACACCACAGTAAAACATAGGAAGCACTCTGTAAGATATGGACATCGGTAAAGACACCTTAAAAAGTCCCCAAAAGCACAAA